TGCCTCCTCCCCTGATTGTTTCTCAGCAGAGGATGGATGGCCATCTTTCAGGAGGGATTAGATGGTGTCTCCCTGATGTTAGGAACTGTGGGAATGGAAGGAGGGCCCAAGTTGGCCCTCGCCTGGATGAGATAGCGTCTTGCTTTGGGGTCAGACTGGATGACCCTTGGGGATCCCTTCCAAAGCCACTATTCTAGCAGACGGCAAAACGAGAACCGGAGTGCCCGTTCCCGTGGAGCCGCCCTGACCCGACTTGTTCTCCTTCCTCCGCGGCATCCGCATCGTCCCATGGGTGCGCAGGGTGGGTGGGGTGCTGCGCGATCTCGACGTGCCCCGTCATGCCTTTTCCCACAGGTGCCGAACCCCCAAATCTCCCCATCCAGCCATTTTGGAGACACCCCAAGGGGTGCGGCAACACATGCGAATGCGTATGTTGCCCGGGAGTTGTCTATGAGCGGTGGCCTTATATAACCGTAGTGTCCACATAACAACGTGCGCCGCGCATGGGGACGTGGGGGCCACTCTCTCGGATTTCCATTTTCGGATTTCCAACACGTGCAATTCCTTGCATCCGCTCCCTTTGTCTCCCGAACTGTTTCCACTCCGAGAACCCGGGCTTGGGCTCAGGCTTGCCCAGAGGAACCAGCGGGACCGCATTCCTTGCAAAGCAACAAGGGTGGGGACACTCCCCGCCTGGGAGTCGAGTCAAGAGGCTCCTTCTCTGGAGGGCGGGAAAGGAGCAGGCGCCGGGTGGGCATCTGTCGGGAGGGATTCGCGGGTGCGGAGCCTCCACCACACTCCGGGTCAGGAAGTTCTTCCTCATGTTCAGGTGGAATCTCCATTCACTGTTCAGGCTCCCATGAAGTCATGGCGAAGACACCTGGATTTCAAGGCCTTATCATGAAGCCTCCAAAGAAGGAGCCTCCAGCACACTCTGGGGCAGAGAGTTCCACTGCTGAACAGCTTGCATTCAAAGCACTCCCAACAGATGGCCATCCAGGGGCAGAGAGTTCCACTGCTGAACGGCTCTCCCCGTCAGGAAGTTCTTCCTCATGTTCAGGTACAATCTCCATTCATTGTTCAGGCTCCCATGAAGTCATGACGAAGACACCTGGATTTCAAGGCCTTATCATGAAGCCTCCAAAGAAGGAGACTCCACCACACTCTGGGGCAGAGAGTTCCACTGCTGAACAGCTCTCCAAAGAAGGAGCCTCCACCACACTCTGGGGCAGAGAGTTCCACTGCTGAACGGCTCTCCAAAGAAGGAGCCTCCACCACACTCCGGGGCAGAGAGTTCCACTGCTGAACGGCTCTCCCAGTCAGGAGGTTCTTCCTCATGTTCAGGTGTAATATAAGCCCGTTCAGGCTCCCATGAAGTCATGGCGAAGACACCTGGATTTCAAGGCCTTATCATGAAGCCTCCAAAGAAGG